AATGGATGGAGAGATAAAGAGCTTCCAGGACTGGCAGAAACTGAAAGGATATGTGACCACCAAGCCAGCCCTGCAAGAAATATTAAGGGGGATTCTATAAAAGAAGAAAGACCCCAAGAGTAATATAGACCAGACCAGAAATTTAAAGAGATAATCTATAGAAACAGGGATTTTACAGACAATATGATGGCACTAAATTCATATCTTTCAATAGTTAAGAATTAATAAGATCGATAAACCTCTGGCCAGACTTATCCAAAAGAAAAGGGAAAGGACCCAAATCAAAATCAAGAATGAAAAGGAAGAGATCACGACTAACACCAAGGAAATAGAAATAATTATTAGAAATTATTACCAGCAACTATATGCCAACAAATTAAGCAGCCTGGAAGGAATGGATGCCTTCCTGGAAACTTGTAAACTACTAAGACTGAAACAGGAAGAAATAGACAATCTGAATAGACCAATAACCAGTAACAAGATTGAAGCAGTAATCAAAAAGCTCCCCCAAAACCAGAGTCCAGGGCCAGATGGCTTCCCAGGGGAATTCTACCAAACATTTAAAGAAGAAATAATACCTACTCTACCAAAGCTGTTCCAAAAAATAGAAATGAAAGGAAAACTTCCAAACTCATTCTATGAGGCCAGCATTACCCCGATCCCAAAACCAGACCAAGACCCCATCAAAAAGGAGAATTACAGACCAGTATCCATGATGAACATGGATGCCAAAATACTCAACAAGATCCTAGCCAATAGGATCCAACAGTGTATTAAAAGGATTATTCCCTATGACCAGGTGGGTTTTATTCCTGGGATACAAGGGTGGTTCAACATTTGAAAATCAATCAACTGATAGATCACATTAACAAAGAAAAGACAAGAACCATATGATCCTCTCAGTTGATGCAGAAAAAGCATTTGACAAAATACAGCATCCTTTTCCTGATTAAAACTCTTCAAAATATAGGGATAGAGGGAACATAACTCAATATGATAAAAACCATCTATGAAATGTCCACAGCGAATATCATTCTCAATGGGGAAAAAGCTGAGAGATTTTCCCATAAGGTCAGGAACACGACAGGGATGCTCACTCTCACCACTTTTGTTTAACATAGTACTAGAAGCTCTAGCATCAGCAATCAGACAACAAAGAGAAATAAAATGCATTCAAACTGGCAAAGAAGAAAAACTCTCTGTCATTGCAGATGACACATTACTTTATGTGGAAAAACTGAAAGACTCCACCCCCAAATTATTATAATTGATACAGCAGTTCAGCAACGGGGCATGATACAAAATCAATGCACAGAAATCAGTTGCATTTCTATACACTAACAATGTGACTGAAGAAAGAGAAATTAAGGAATTGATTCCATTTATAATAGCACCATAAACCATAAGATACCTAGGACTAAACCTAACCAAAGAGGTGAAAGATCTATACTCTAGCAACTACAGAACACTTATGAAAGAAATTGAGGAAGACACAAAGAGATGGAAAAACATTCCATGCTCATGGGTTGGAAGAATAAACATTGTGAAAATGTCTATGCTGCCCAGAGCAATCTACACTTTCAGTGCAATCCCTATCAAAATACCATCAATAGTTTTCACAGAGCTGGAACAAGCAATCCTAAAATTTGTATGGAACCAGAAAAGACCCCAAATGGCCAGGGAATTGTTGAAAAAGAAAACCAGAACAGGGGGCATCACAATGCCTGACTTCAAGCTATATAACAAAGCTGTGATCATCAGGACAGCATGATATTGGCACAGAAACAGACACATAAATCAATGCAACAGAATAGAGAGCCCAGAAATGGACCCTCAACTCTATGGTCAACTAATCTTTGACAAATCAGGAAAGAATATCCAATGGAAAAAAGACAGTCTCTTCAATAAATGGTGTTGGGAAAATTGGACAGCCACATGCAGAAGAATGAAACTGGACCATTCTCTTACACTATAAACAAAGATAAACTCAAAATGGATGAAAGACCTCAATGTGAGATAGTAATCCATCAAAATCCTAGAGGAGAACATAGGCAATAACTTCTTTGACATTGGCCACAGTGACCTTTTTCAACACATGTCTCTAAAGGCAAGGGAAACAAAAGCAAAAATGAACTTTTGGGACTTTATCAAGATAAAAAGCTTTTGCACAGCAAAGGAAACAGTCAACAAAACTAAGAGACAACTCACGGAATGGGAGAAGATATTGCAAATGACATAGCAGATAAAGGGCTGGTATCCAAGATCTATAAAGAACTTCTCAAACTCAACACCCCAAAAACAAGTAATCCAGTCAAAAAATTGGCAGAAGACATGAACAGACACTTCTCCAAAGACATACGAATGACTAACTGACACATGAAAAAATGTTCAACATCACTAGCCATCAGGGAAATACAAATCAAAACCACAATGAGATACCACCTTATACCAGTTAGAATGGCTAAAATTAACAAGACAGGAAACAAGTGTTGGCAAGGATGTGGAGAAAGGGGAACCCTATTATTACACTGTTGCTGGGAATGCAAGCTGGTACAGCCACTCTGGAAAACAGTATGGAGGTTCCTCAAGATGTTAAAAATAGAGCTACCCTATGACCCAGCAACTGCACTACTAGGTATTTACCCCAAAGATACAGACATTGTGAAAAGGGGCACATGCACCCCAATGTTCATATCAGCAGTGTCCACGATAGCCAAACTGTGGAAGGAGCTGAGATGCCCTTCAACAGATGAATGGATAAAGAAGATGTGGTTTATATCTACAGTGGAATATTACTCAGCCATCAGAAAGGATGAATACCCACCATTTGCCTCGACATGGATGGAACTGGAGGGGATTATACTAAGTGAAATAAATCAAGCAGAGAAAGACAATTATCATATGGTTTCACTCATATGTGGAAATACAAGGAATAGGGTAGAGGACCACAGAGGAAGGGAGGGAAAACTGAATGGGAAGAAATCAAGAGAGGGAGACAAAACATGAGAGACTCTGGACTCCAGGAACCAAACTGAGGGTTACAGAAGGGAGGGGGGTGAGGGGATGGGTTAGCCCGGTGATGGGTATTCAGGGGGGCACGTGTGGTGATGAGCACTGGGTGTTATATGCAACTAATGAATCTGAACACTACGTGGAAAACTAATGATGTAGTATATGCTAGCTAATTGAACATAATAATAAAAAATAATATTGTATGTCAATTAATCTATACTTAAGTTTAAAAAAATAAACTTCCCATTGGGCTTCACTGACACAGGGTTAAAAGAAGAGTGCTAACTAGCCTGAATCACACCACCTTGGTCAGTCCATTGCTGCTGGGTGAGGGTGGAAGTTGAGTTTGCCAACACTAACCATTCAGGGGAATTAGAGTGCTGCTTCCCACTTCCATCAAAGAGGTGTGGAAGATCATAAGGTCCCTGCTTGGCCATACTGACACCAGTTGGCAGGGGAATGGGAGCAGAGCACTGTCTGATTTTGCCAGGCAGTGAATGGAAGATTAACTCCGTGCTTGGCCCTGCTGGAACTGAAACTACTGGGTAGGGAAACTGGAGCATGTTCCTTGCTTCTGGGGTGGCTTGGATGGCCAGCTTCCCACTCTGCCTGTTGAAATTTCAGGGTTGGGAAAGGGCAGGAATGTGTGTGGTTTTTTAATTGAGATTTCAATTTCATTTGGTGGGAGTATGGTGGGCATTACCTAAGATATTTTCTGTGGTTAGGCTAGCATTTTCCCAGTCATTTTGTTGGCAGGATGTAGGCTTTTCTTGAAGATTTTTTTCCCTGTCTCTGTTGGCAGTTCTGAATTGGAGGCTTCTCCCATATCCTTTGTGGGACATGTGTGCGGTGATAACGAAACCCAGGGGGCTCACTACTGTGTTGTTTTTCAATTTGTGAGGTCCTTGGGATCCTTTTCTTTTTACATTTTTCTTTCTTTCCACCATTTATAGTCTAACTATGCTTGTTTGTTGTGTTATGTTCAGAGAGTTTTAGTTGTAAGAAGGAGGACCTGGGAGGTATGGGGATATTCTGTCTTGGCAGGATCACATTCCATTGATTTTTACTTCTCAAATATCTTTCAGCTCCATTAATGTCTTAGCATTCCCATTGTAGCATCCTTAATATTCATAAACTCACCTGTCCTTTGGACAATTGCAGTGGTCTTCTCACAAATATATATTGTCAGAGCATTTTGCCAAAAAAAAAATAGATACCCAAAATAGTTGACAAAGGATTTAAAAAAAAATTACTTCCAGTGATGAAAGGCAATCTGGGAGATGGAACTTAGATTCTCAGTATTAGGGCTCCTACAACTTGATGGCTTTAGTTGATAGGGACAACATATCAGATCTTTCCAAATTTGGATAGTTTCCCCAAGCCTTAATGTTGTGTGTCTTATAATTCTAGTAGTTCAGAGGAGGAAGAGATCACTTCCAGCTAAGGTTTTCAGGGAAGCATTCATGCAAAAGCTTGGTTTTATGGGACAAGATAGGCAATGAATAAGGTATGAACTAATGTACAAGGTATACTTGGGGTGGCGGTAGAATAGACTTGTTTGAAATAGTTTCTGAAATTTTTCCTAATTGATGATAATTATCACTTTGAGTGCTTTTTAATTTTACAGATTAAGAAGTCACTGGATTAGAAATTTTGACTCAGTAGGTCTGAGTGAAGGTGCAGGAATCAGTGTTTTAAACAAGCATTTCAGATGATTGTTAAGTTCAAGGTAATTTGGGAAACAGAACTGTAGAAAATATAATGGCCAATCAAGTTGGCATAAAAAGTAGGTTCCAGATTATGTGGGGCTTTAAATGCTAGGTGAAGGAGCTCAGAATGATGTTGCTGAACATGAGAAATATTTAACATTTGGAAGTCTATTAATCCCTTCTAGTCACTACATTGGAAATGGTGTCAGTATTATGGATGTGGATAGTATAGGTTAATAACTGTTGTCTTATTTACATTGGAATAACTGTTGGGATTACCTGAACTCTGCAAAAATATGTAGTTGCAGGAATGAGACCTTTAACTTTATAGCTCAGACAAGGGCCAGTGTAAATCAAGTGCATTGATTCTTCACTTTGTCCCCACTCAAGTCTATATTCAGTGATTTCAGCACCATTACACACAGGAATCTAAAAGATGCAACAAACACAGAAATTTGAGTTGTTTCTATAAATTGTCATTATACTAGATATTGTGGAGAGTTACAACATAATTCTTTCAATATCAAAACTCATAATCTATTAAATGGTATGAGACAATTGTAGAAATAATTAAATATAAGGCAGAATACTATAATTAACATTAAAAGGCTCAAATAAAATTAAGAGAAAGGATTGGCTAATCCCACATATTTGATAAATTCTTATTTTTAATTTGTTAAAAGTATTCTCAAATAGGTTACTTAAAAAAGAGCAAACCTAGATATACTAATGTTGCTTAATATTACTACTGATTAGTGGGTTCAAACACAAATTCCAGTATTCTCTGGATTTTGTACAGTGCTGTAATCAGACTTGTCATTTATTATTATCAAACTAAAGCTTTTGTGTCAATGCTAAAAAGCTTCCTCTGCTAGAGTCTGGGAAGAATAGAAGAAAAATTCAAAGATACATAGGTGGCATAATAACTAGGCCAGTTTTTATTTTTTGAGCTTATTTAAATGGGGAGCTATTCACATGGATGCAAAACATTTTTTAAAGCTTCATTATCTCATAGTCACATTTTTTTTAAAGGATTTTATTTATTTATTTGACAGAGAGAGACACAGCGTGAGAGGGAACAGAAGCAGGGGGAGAGGGAGAGGGAGAAGCAGGCTTCCCGCCGAGCAGGGAGCCCAATGCGGGGCTTGAAGTTCTATAAATTGATTTAATTTTATTATCTCTTGTTTTTAGTTTCAAAAATTAAATTAGTTACCTATTGATCGCCTATCTGGTTTTCCAAATTTATTAATCTCTATAAATATAGAGTCTGAAAAGCAGGATTACCATAGGATTACCATAGTTTTAGCTATTTATTTATTTAAATTTTTAAAAAAGATTTTATTTGTTTATTTGACAGAGAGAAAGAGCGAGCACAAACAGGGGGAGCGGCAGCCAGAGGGAGATGCAGGCTCCCCGCTGAACAAGGGGTTGGACATGGGGCTCAATCTCAGGACCCTGGGATCATGACCTGAGCTGAAGGCAGACGCTTAACTGACTTAGCCACCCAGGTGCCTCTTTTTTTTTTTTTTAAAGATTTTATTTACTTATTTATTTTAGAGAGCAGGGGGGAGGAGCAGAGGGGGAGGGAAAAGAATCTCAAGCAGACTCTGTGCTGAGCATGGAGCCTGATGCAGGGCTTGATCTCAAGACCCTGAGACCATGACCTGAGCCAAAACTGAGTTGGACACTCAATCGACTGAGCCACCCAGGTGCCCCTATTATTAGCCTTTTTTTTTTTTAAAGATTTTATTTATTTGTGAGAGAGGTAGGCAGAGGGAGAAGCAGGCTCCCTGCTGAGCAAGGAGCTCTATGCGGGTCATGATCATGACCTGAGCCAAAGGCAGACACTTAACTGACTGAGCCATCCAGGCATCCCTAGCCTTAGCCTTCCTAATAGTACTAGTATCAGGTCTTATGTGTGTTCTAGAACCATGGTCGAAGATTTATGGAACCCTAATCTAAACTCTGACTCCTTAGGGAGTTGTAGACTTTAAAAAAAAATACTAAACCAATAGGTGTGCTCTTATATCAACAAAATTAATAAAAATAAATTGATAGCATACCCTCCAACTAACAACAACACAGGTTGGACCCTTGCAGGTTAGCACAGGTATACCACATTGAGAAGGAGGACTTGGGACTGGTGCAGTTTCACACTTCAATGGATGAGGTTCCAACTACAAATAAACACAAACAAACAAATAAGAAAACACAAAGATGATTGTGCAGGTATGGTCACTTCCCACCCTGACAGGAAGTAGAAGCATATATTCATCCAAAGTGAAATGAACCATGAATGGGTCAACTGAACAATATAACTTCTCCAGCACTATTCACTACTTTTAACAAGAAACTGGATTCTTCAGAAATTACTTTACTCACTATGGATCTCACTTTGGAACTAGGGTACCCTCGTTTGTCATCTTGGTTATCTTCTGCCTTATTGACATATGCAGGTGCTTCAGAGTTTTCATTAGGATGATAATCTATAAAAGTGTACAGAATAAATTTTAAAAATTTGTGAATAATTTTAGGGGTGGTCCTTTAAAATAATACAAAATAATTTTAGAAGACACAATGTCAAAACACTTAATAAAGTAACAGAATACTCAAATTATATTAATTGGGTCAATTAAATTTTAAATTTAATTTTGACATTTAAAACATTTGTGACAACATGGATGGACCTAGAGGGTATTTACTAGGTGTTGTGAGTCAGAGAGAAATACCATATGATTTCACTTATATGTGGACTCTAAAAAACAAACCAAACAAACAAAAAAACCAAAAAAAAACCCCAGACTCTTAAATATAGAGAACAAACTGGTGGCTGCCAGAGGAGAGGTGGGTGGGGTGATGGGCAAAATAGATAAAGGGGATTAAAAGTTACAAACTTAGCTATAAAATAAATAAGTCATGGAGATGAAAAGTACAGCATGGGAATATAATCAGTAATATTGTAATAACATTGTATGGTGATAGATGGTGATTATACTTATTGTGGTGAGCACGACTAATGTATAGAATTATTGAATCAATATGTTGTACACCTGAAACTAATATAATATTGAATGTTAATTATACTTCAAAAATTATTGTGATTTCAATTACCAAGTAAGAAACAGTTTTATAAATATTATTTGATTTTGTAGTAAAAAATGCACTTGCTCTGCTTCAGTAACATTAATTAATTAAAATCAGAGGTTACAAAACAAGAAATTTAGGTGAAGTCATTCAAATCATACAAGAAGCCTCACCACATTTGATGTTCGTTTCTTTGGTCTTGGTTTCACCATGCAAAGGTAGAGGATGGCAAGATGCAGGAGAAAGAGTAGGTGTTTGAATAGTCAATATATCTGAAGGCTAAGAGAAATACAAAATACCTTATGATTATATTAAATTCAAATTCAGTTTTTTAAAACACTTAGTAACATAAATAATTTCAATCCTCAATTTAAGCACTTCCCTCTCTGTTTCCTCACCTGGCTTTGGCCTACAGGTGAGGTACAAAAGACTCTCAGTTTATATGTAGTACCAGGTTGCAGGTGATCATATAGAAATTCCTTTGTGGTTCTGCTGTAGATTATGTTCCAGGAATTCTCTGAAGGGATAAAAGCAAATTTATCTAATTTATTTATAGGTAGCTTATAAATTTTATGGGTCCCATTATTATCTCGTGTATATACTAAGAAATAAGCATTTTGGAAACTGTGGCCCAGTTACCTACTTACAACAGTTAAATAATTATATTCCTTATAGAATTAGCCATAAAATAATAAAAGATCAGTAAATAAACATAATTTGCTACTAAAAAATGGAGAAATCCAAATAAGTCCTGGATTAGTTCATAGTATTGTACCAATGCCAATTTCCTGGTTTTGACAATTGTACTGTGGTTATGTAAGATATTAATTTTAGGAGAAGCTGACTGAAGGTTATATACAGGAATTCCCTACACTATTTTGACAACTTCTGGATAAGCCTAAAACTATTTCAAAATAAAAACTTTAAAAAAAAATGATGCACAGTTGTGATCAGCACCAGGTGTTGTATGGAAGGGTTGAATCACTATATTGTACACCTGAAACTAATAGTACACTGTATGTTAACTAACTGGAATTTAAACAAAAACTTTTTAAAAACCTTATAATTTAACTTTGAAAAAAAAATCATGATGTCTTACCATCTGAATTTTCATTAACTTCTAAACTGTAACTTGAAATGTATGTCCCATCATTATCTTTGGGTGGTTCTGAAAAGAGAAATAAAATTAATATTATTCTTGAATAAACTTAAAAGTCTTTCACTGGAATGTTATCTTATAAATTAAAATTTTTATGGAGAAAAAATACAAACATGAAATTTAATAGGGTATTAATATTAGACATGAAACAAGTAAGATTTTAAAGTTCTTTCGAAGAGACTAAAATGCTAAGTATTTGTACCTTGAAGTAGATTTTGCCAGTTGAGAGGCAAAATGATTTGTGAAAACATAATTTCTTATCAAGCTGGCATTTATCATTGATGTGTCTTTTTAATTGAGGCCTCTATATTAGATATAATCTTACTTGGAATAACTATAATTTTTGAGGGCTCATATAAAATTTAGTAATTTGTTCATGTGTGACTTAATGAGACAGCAATAGAGAACTCAACAGAGAACTGTAAAAAATGTCATTTACAACTGAACTCATTTATAAGGTGAAATATTTCAAATGAAAATAAGAGAATATTTTATAAAGCTGAGGGCAATTAGCAGAAGATTTCTTCTCAATAGTTAATATTAAGACAGAAAGGGTACGTTTTAAATACAAAAACATTACCCCATCCAATTTTTACTCTGTGTGCATAGATTTTTCCCTTTATATATGGTGTTTTAGGGGATCCAGGCTTATCTGGATAGGTAGTATATTTTACTTCTCCACTGGGGTTACTCCTTCCTTCCAAATTGTAGGCAAAGATCTGTTTGAGTAAAAGAGAATACCTTGGTTGACCACTGGAAATAAACATCTGATTTGAAAATGCATAGTTTGCAAATAATATTATAAAGCAGGTTATTTGAAGATTCCTGAGAACTAAATGCAAAATGTTTAATTTCAACCAAAAAAGATACTCATTTTTTTTATCTCCAGTGAAGAGTATAATTTAATATTAAAAATATGATACAAACTTATAAATTATAGCCACATACCCTAAACTTGTATGTAGTAGTTCTCTGAAGATTTCTTATAGTGCATGAGAAGTCTTCTCCATTATATTTAGGTCTAAAACCCAACCCCTGGAAATGAAAGACAATGAATTTAGGACTTAGGCTTGGGTTCAAGTTTCAACTTCAGCTTATTTTTCATCTGGGTGGTCCTGAGCAAGTCCCTTAGTCTCTCTGAACCTTAGTTCCTCCATAAAAAATGGAGACACTTTCTACTTTAAAGGGCTCCCTTTTTCAGGATGTAATGAGATAATGTATATGAAGGCACTTAACATATTTATTACACAGAACTCTTCTTCAATGTTAGTTGCTTTATATAAAAATGTGGTAAAATGTACATAACATAAAATGTACAGCTGCCTTTTAAGTTGAGTAACCGATTAGTATAGACTTGAAAGTTCAGAATGCAATAAAACAGTTTGCCCGCCCACATCAGGAATCCAGGGAGATGAGGAAAGCGTTTGCCCTGGTAGAAGTATGCAGAGGATCTGTGTGACCATGCAAAGTCATCTGGGATAGACCCAAAGTTGAAGAACTAACACACTTCACTGTGTATCTGTTGTGTTATTATAGCTGCTGCTGCTTTTAGCTAATCTTCCAGGACTTAGGTACCTTCAGAACTCCCTGTACTGGCTCGCCTAACATTGGCTCAGCATTGGTCCCCTCTAGAAAACAGGGACTTGGGAATCATGCGGTTTGATTGAGTAGAAATTAGCTTAATCATAGGGACAAAAAGAGGACAACTGAGAAACAGACTCTTAACTATAGAGAAAAAACTGATGGCTACCAGAAGGGAGGTGGGTAGGGGGATGTGTGAAATAGGTGATGGGGATTAAGGAGGGCACTTGTTGTGATGAGCACTGGGTGTTGTATTTAAGTGTTGAATCACTAAATTGTACACCTGAAACTAATATTACACTGTTAACTAACTGGAATTTATTTATTTATTTATCAGAGAGAGAAAGCACAAGCAGGGGGAGCTGTAGGCAGAGGGAGAAGCAGGCTCCCCGCCGAGCAGGGAGCCCGATGCGGGGCTTGATCCCAGGACCCTGGGATCAGGACCTGAGCTGAAGGCAGACCCTTAACAGACTGAGCCACCCAGGCATCCCAACTAACTGTAATTTAAATGAAAACTTAAAAAAAGAAATTAACTTAAATCTAAAATTTTTCAGTATAAGATGCATGTAAAATGTACCTAAAACTGAAGTTGAAGATTAAAGCATGTGAAAAGAAAACTTACGGATCCTGCTTCTTCCATTTCTAGTACATAAGTAAGACTGTCATTTGGGCTTGTGTTAGTTGGGGCAGACCATTCTAGTGACAAATTACAGACTCCTGCTTCTTTTAGCTTAGGAGGTGGAGGTGTTGGAGGCATAGTTCCTGATGTATGGAAGACTGCTATTTCACTGAAATCACTGAAAAATAAATTAATATGGAAAAGTTATTTTCAGGTTCTTATTAAAGTATAGACTTTTAAATATTGCAATAATTCAATGTACCTCAAGCCAAAGTTATTTTTGGCAGCTAGTCTGAATGAATATTTTGTAGAAGCATTCAGTTTAAGGATCTTGTATTGTTTCATGGTACCCGTATAGCAACTTTTGAAGCCTTCACCTTTGCCCTTAATAATAGATGCAAAATATTAGAATATTATAAAATGCTGCAAGTATAAAAATTCATCATAACATTAATAACCATTTACAAACAAGTGCTTTTAAGAAATAAAATGGTTTACCTCATCCCATTCCAAAAGGAAGCTGTTTATTTTGGAACCATTATCATTGGAACCCTAAATATGTCAGAAAGATAAAAGTATGATGGTCTGTTTTTACACAGTATATGTACATACACACACACTATATAATTAAAGTGATTGAAATTACTGTAAAATTAATCTGCTTACATTTTGTTTTTAAAGCAATCCAGATTTTAAAGTTAAAATGCACTTTTTACAGTCTATAAGACATACCCAAATTCTATGTCTTGTTTTGTTTTCCAAATTTTATGTAATAAAGAAAGTTAATAATTAAGAGGTAGATTTATTAGTAACTACAATTATAAATAAATTTAGGTTACAGAAATTGACACTTCAACTTTTAATAATTGAAATTATGATTGACATTTCTCAATTCACTTGATGCTTGATATAGATAGAAGAGAAAGATGATTATGGAAAAACAAAAAGTGCTAGGGAAATAGATCAGATGAGGCATGGATAATTTCATATTTAAAATTCAGGACAAAGTAGAAAGAATGTTTTTTTTTTAAGATTTTATTTATTTACTTAATTGACAGAGAGAGAAAGAGACAGCATGAGAGGGCACACAAGCAGGGGGAGTGGGAGAGGGAGAAGCAGACTTCCGGCCAAGCAGGGAGCCCAATGCAGGGCTCGATCCCAGGACCCTGGGACCATGACCTGAGCTGAAGGCAGATGCTTAACAACTGAGCCACCCAGGTGCCCCAGAAAGAATGTTTTTAAATTAAAAAAAAAAAAAACATGTTGAGGAGACTTTGGCAGTAAAATACTTACTTTCCACTGTAAATTCAGGTTGCTCTTGGATTGGTTAATTAGTTTGGGTGCAAGTGGAGGGTCTGGTTCACAACCTGGAGTTGTGAAACTAACCACTTCAGACATAGTTCTATGTGCTGAGCTTCTTATGGTTGTAATTCTAAAAAGGTAATGACAATTGTAAGCTTTCAAATATTTATTCTTACATGTACTAAAGAAGATTGTGTATTATAATTCTTAAATTTAAACTTTCTAACTCCTAATTATAAAGGAAGTAAAACTTTACATAATAATTAATTACATTTAAAATTTCACTTTGAGTCTCAGAGTAAAGATGACAAATTCTAGTAAATGAAGTTTAAGATGCATTATGATTTTTAAAGTGCTGTAGAGACAGCTCCAGATCTCTGACTTATTTCTTGCATAATCGTTTGGTGGGCAAAGGAATTTCTTCTTCCTCACTTGGGATTTCCTTTCTACTGTGCCTCTGTGTGTTCTCTTTCAGATTACATGTCCCCATTCAGTCGAGAAGCTGTTTGTTGAGTGGCTGGGTATGCTCTTGCTGTGTCCTCCACTATATCCTCCCTAGTCCTGGTTCTATCTTTTTATCTTTTTTTTTTTCTGGTTGTATCTTCTGAGCACATTCCTAAGTTCATCCTGCTGCTGTCATAGCTCCATCTTATAACTAGCTTCTGTAATGAAATTTCCAGGACAGTCTATCTTAAATCCAGTTGCAATGTAAATACCTTATTTGTGTAGCCTACCATAAAGTGAAACTCCCCCCCTTAAATGACCTAAGTGAATAAATGAGAAGGGAGAATTGGAGGGAACATTTTCTTCCCTGAGTCTAAACTTGTCAAATAGGAAAGCTGTAAACTGAAGAGAATGGACCAGTTCATATTTAAGATCCTTCTCAGCACTAACATACTTATGATTCAGTGAATTTCATGGACTGACCTGGCAACCACCCACCATTTATAAAACTATTTTAGTATAAAATTGCATTCAAAGCTTGGAAAAAATTGCAGAAAAAATCTTTAGAACTCAGCCTAGGTATAAGTTGAGGTCTATACATTTAGATAACATATTTGAATTGAATTATGAGAAATGAGAAATGATTAAAGAGACTTACATATATACTTTTTTATATTTTCCATTTTTACCACTGTTAGATATTGCCAGTTCAAATGTCACAGGAGATTTGGTGTGATCACATTTCTCAGAACCACGTAGTTTCCATGAAATAATAGCAGATCTTGTTTGAATATCAGAAACCTAAAATAAATAACAAAAATTCAAGTAGGGCATTTAAAAAATATAATCTGTAACTTATGATAATCTTTCCCTAAGTCTTTTTGATGGTAAATACATTGTTCTCCTCATATAGATGCTTAAATACTGTGGTTAAGCAATGCCATTAATATTATCTTTAATAATACCATTCTGAATCTTTATGTACTGAATAGCTAATGGAGATTATGAAATTTTAACCAGGTAAAGACTTCAAATTAAAACTTTACTAGAGAAAAATATCAGTGAACTTGCATATTTTAGAATGAAAAAGTAAATTAAAAGGAATACTTAAATATTCACTTTAGTTACTTACTACAGGTTTCTCAATGCTGAAACAGCATGACTTGCCAGGTTCTGTTATGCATTCTAAAAGAAAACACCCCAAAATAAAATATTACATTGGTAAAAACAAGAGAAAGAAGTTAGATGTCTATTATCCAACTACCAATACATCATCACCAGGAGAGCTACTAAAAACCTAGTAGCAATTTACACTAAAATTTTAAAAGAAGAGAGCAGTCTAAAGTGTATGTTATTAAACAAACTCTAACAAAAGACAGAGTCCCTCGTTTAAATGAAATAATGTGAATTCATTAGGACTATAGAGTAATTTGGGGTATTTCACTGGCAGACAACTAGAAAAGAATTACATGGTGTGCACGTAAGATACATGACACATTTTGCATGAGGATGGTCATTTCTCCATGATTTAAAAAGGCAGCCCAACTGTGGTTTCACTGAGTTTAGATTTAGGGGTACAATGAGGACAAGAGGAAATGGAAACAAAATGGCACTTAAATATTTAAGATGCACTGAGATTCCTAAACATTAGGATGTTTATTCATTGCCAACAAAACCAAACTCCTGACCTTACCTTTTTCTGCAGCATTTGATGATGGGCTATTGCTTTGTTTTCCACCTGGTTTCTTCTTGATGCCTCCACTTCCTGCAGCACTCCATTTCTTTCCCTGACTAGTCTCAACATGAGCACTAGCAGTGTTGGAATTGCTGGCAGCACTGGAAGCACTGAGAGCACCATCAATGGCAGAAGTGCTGGGAGCACTCTCAGAGATGGGAATGTTGGGAGCATGGTCAGAAATGGAAGAGCTTGGAGTGCTGTCAATAGCTGATGGTCTGGGGGTACTGTCAGAAGTGGAAGTACTGGGGACATAATTAGTGCTGGAAGGATCTGGAACACTATCAGTGGTGGAAGGAAGAACACTGTCTGGGTGGAAGTACTAGGGGTATGGTCAGTGGAAGAATTGCTGGGAGTATTGTCAGCAATGTGAGTGCTTGGAGGGTTGTCAACAGTGTCAGCAATGTAAATGTCCTGAGCATTGGTCACAGTGTAGGCACATGGAGCTTTGTCCACAGTATAAGTGCTCAAAGTATTTTCGACAGTGTTGGTGCTCAAAGTATTTTCGACAGTGTTGGTGCTCGAAGTATTTTCCACAGTGTAGGTGCATGGAATATTGTCCACAGTGTAAGTGCTTGTAGCATTGTCTACAGTGTAGGTATTTGATGCACTGTCAACAGTGTAGGTGTGTGGAGCATTCTCCACAGTGTCGGTGCTCATGGTATTGTCAACAGTGTCGGTACTTGGAGCATAGTCCACAGTGTAAGTGTTTGAAGTATCAGGACTACTTGAAAAATCATTGGTTTTATCGACAAGCAAAGAGGTGTTCTTAACTATATAGCTAGTCTTGTGTCCGCCAAGTTGGCCTTCTCTCATTTTTTTCTCCATATGTTCTCCCATGTTAGCAGCCCTTTCATCAGACTGGTTATGATTTCCTCTTCCATGAGCATCCATTTCTAAAAGAGACAATGGAGTACTGCTTAATAATTATAACAATTACATATCTCAAGGTCTTTTTAATCTTTTCTTCAAACCAAAAAAAAAAAACCACTGATAAGCCATGTTTTACTTTTAAAATTTTTCCTGTTTTGCTTTAATACAGATATTAGGTATGTATTTTTATAATGTATTGATATGTATAGAAAGAAAAACATGAACAAATACAGATACTGTTTTCCTAGGGAGTAACTCCACTTCCACATTTTAAGGTCCTAAGATGATTGTAATCTTGACCCTTCAGTGTCTTTTATATTCCCACCGTATGGCATTAATAATCAAAACATTCTTTTATAATGTTCCAGTATGATTTTATAGACCCAATCAGTAAAAATAAATATCATAAATCAATGTTATATCCAAGTACAAAAATATATAGAAAATTATGTTTATGAGTATTTTGCCTTAAACACGAACCAGTACTTATTTTCATTAATCCTAATATACATGCATGAAATGCAGTCATTCATGGAAATGTTACTACTTTCTACTTTTTTCACTTAATTTCCCAATGCTCTTGATTTTGACAAACTCAAAATATCTCCTGTTTAAGAAAATTATATGCTACCATGCTGCTCTTGGTATATAAATGTTGCTGGTGGTAGCATTGGTGGTGGTGGCAGCAGTGCCAGTGGCAGTGGCAGCAGTGGAAGTGGCAGCTGCTGTGGCAAAGGCTCTTGGATGTAAGGCGGTGGAAATTCCCCTTGAGCTGGGGGATACATCAGGTGAGGCCCTTGTGGATACACAGGAGAGGACAGGCCAATGAAGTGTGGTACTTGTTGTAGAGGAGCAGGCATGGTTGTATGATAGTCAATTGTCTGAGGCACAATGATAATTTTGCGAATGCCATTTTCTTCCACCACCTAAGTTGGAAGACAGAACCATATAAACATATTAGAATTAATAAAATTTGTCATTTTTTAAACTAAGTTTTAGATTTATATCCTGTGCTCTTAATTTAGAAAACCTAAAGGATCAAAAAGTAATAACTAAGTGAAACAAGGTCAAGCAGAAGACAATTCTTCCTTGTCTCCATATATATGGCTTTCAAAAAGGTAATTTTTTGACACTAGATAATATATTGACTTTGTTTAAAACCATAAAGTATAAAAAACTATACATGTAAAATTTCCCTCCTAAATCTTATCTGCTCAGTGCCCCCATTAGATAACTATTGCTCTTAGTTTCTTAGGAATCCTTCCAGAATTGGTCTATATAAGCAAGAATACAGATTCTTATTTTTCCTTTTTATTACATGAAAAGTAGCATTATTTGCACTATTACTATCTGTACCTTGCTTTTTACACTTAGCAAAATATCTTAAAGATCTTTCTATGTCAGTACATAAAACTTCCCCACTTTTTTGCACAGCTGCACTGTGCATTATATGGATGTCCTCTATTGTACACAGTCCTCCATTGACAAGTGTGTGGGTTGTTTGCAACCTTCTATTATCACAAACAATACTGTAATGAATAATCTTGCATATTTATTATTCCAAATTTGTATAAAACACATCTGTAGGATAAATTCCTCAAGGTGGAATTGCTGGGTGAAAAGGAATATGCATTTGTATTTTTGTTAGATATTGTTGAAATAGATAATTCCATTTAGAATCAAACTATATTATATTGACTTATTTAGCATATTATTGATTTCCACAGTTGTGCAATAGAAAAAGACATATTCTCAATTATAAAATTTCAAGGCCACAAAATATCTTGTTGATGTCTATAGGAGAAATATTTCCCTGTTCATTTTAGGTGCTTGGTAAATATTTGAAGAATTTTTTAAAAAGTGCCCTTTCCTGCCCAGCAACTGAGAATGAAATACTACTGAACTGAAAATACATAACTGTAGGGATTAAAGCATACACACTATCAAATGCCATTACTGTAGCAATTGTAATAGGTAATCAAGATTGGTTAAGGTACTGAGAAACAAAAAACAATAGAGGATTAGTGAATATGATGAGGTGCAAATTCATTAGATGAATAATGAATTATTTACAAGACAATCTAAGGGAGATTTGGTTAAGCTTAACTGCAATTTCTTTTTAGCAATAATGATAACAAAATGAACAACTAAATAGTATTTCAGAAGATTTATCATATAGTGACATAATAACTGTTAAATGATGCCTTAGGGCTAAATACCAAATAAAACCATACTCATATACCTGAGACATGTAACCAGGAGGAAGATATATTGGTGGCAAAGTACCACTTGGTGACATCAGCGGTACATCAGCGGGTCCTAAAAGAGAATTATTATTAATAAATTCTTTAATAGGAGGAGGAGGAGCAAGATGGCAGAGGAGTAGGAGACCTAAATTTCATCTGGGCCCAGGAATTCAGCTAGATAGGTATCAAACCATTCTGAATACCTACAAACTCAACAGGAGATTGAGGAAAAGAATAGCAGCAATTCTATGAACAGAAAAGCAACGACTTTCTGGAAGGTAGGATGTGTGGAGAAGGGAATCTGAGGCAATATTTGGGAAGATAGACCACGGGGGGAGGGAGCCTCCATCAGCCAGCTACCGGCAAGTGATAGAGCAACAGAGCACAAAACTGGAACTTTTAGAAGTCTGCTCTGCTGAGGGACATCACTCTAGTGGCTAAGTGGGGGGTGGAACCCTCGCTGGGACAGTGTGGTCTCAGGATCCTTGGGGTCACAAGAAGACTGGGGGTGCCTGAGTGTGGCAGAGCTCCCAGGTATCGGAGTGGGGAAGCCGGCTGCAAAGACAGAGCCAAGGAGTGGGCTCTTGGCTCAGGGTTGCCATAAACCATGATCTGTGGCACAGTCTGGCCACTAGTCTTTGAGTTGGGACCCAACAAGCAGCAGATCTGGGGAGATTCCCCTTCTTCACCAGGAGGAGCAGCATGGGAGCGCACTGCAGAAATCTGCTGGGTTTGGAGACTCCAAAGGGGGTCATGTGCTAGGGGAGATAGAAACACTTGGTCACAGGCCAGGTGAGCACGGAGTGTGGCTGGAGACCAGGGAGACATGAGTGATTGGCTGCTTTTCTATGAGGGCTCACTGAGGAGTGGGGCCGCGAACTTTCAGCTCCTCTGGGACAAGAGATTGGGAGGCCGCCATTTTCACTCTCATCCTCCAAAGCTGTACGGAAAGATTTCAGGGAACAAAAGCTACCGAGAGCAAACCCCAGCAGATTACTTATCCTGGCCCCTGGCAAGGGCGAGGCAATTCTGCCTCAGGCAAAGACATTTGAGAATCACTGCAACAGGCCCCTCCCCGAGAAGATCAGCAAGAACATCCAGCCAAGACCAAGTTTACTGATCAATGAGAATTGCAAAACCCCAGCACTAGGGGAATACAGCAAATAAAATTCATGGCTCTTTTTCCCATAATTCTTTTGTCTTTCAAAATTAATTTTTAAAATTTTCATTAATTTTTCTTTTTCTAATTTTTAGTTGAATTTTATTTTTTCCTTTTCAACAAACATCAATTCCTTTTTAAAAATCTTTCTTAATTTTCATTTTTACAGTCATATTCTATCCCTTCATTGTATTTAACCTTATTTTTTGTATATATATAAGTTTTTCTTTCTTTAAAATTTTGGGATACAGTTTCTTCTAATGGACCAAAATATACCCTAGATCTAGTGTGACATTGTCCTAGTCTCCTGCCTGGTCACATTCTCTCTTTTTTTATAATTTTTTTCATTCTTTATTCAACCAATTTTTTATCTTATCAATTCCTTTTTTAAAAATCTTTTTAAATTTTCATCTTTACACTCATATTCCATCCTTTCATCATATTTACCCTTATTTTTGTATATATATATAAATTTTTCTTTCTTTAAAATTTTGGGAGGCAGTTTCTTCTAACAGACCAAAATACACCTAAAATCTAGTGTGTGGCTCTGTTCTATTCACCAGCATGATCATATTCTTTCTTTTTTTTCCCGTTTTCCTCCCCAGTTTGGGGCTCTTCTTATTTGTTTAGTGTATATTTTTCTGGGATTGTTGTTATCCTTTTAGTATTTTGTTCTCTCATTCATTTATTCTCCTCTGGACAAAATGAAAACACGGAAAAACTCACCTCCAAAAAAAAAGACCAAGAGGCAGTACTGACTGCCAGGGACCTAATCAATACAGGCATTAGTAAGATGTCAGAACTAGAGTTCAGAATGACAATTATAAAGATACTAGTTGGGCTTGAAATAAACATGGAAGATACTAGAGAATCCCTTTCTGAAGAAATAAAAGAACTAAAATCTAAACAAGTCGAAATCAAAAAGGCTATTAATGAGGTGCAATAAAAAAATGGAGCCTCTAACTGCTAAGATAAATGAGGCAGAAGAGAGAATTAGTGATCTAGAAGACCAGATGATGGTGAATAAAGAAACTGAGATAAAGAGAGATAAATAACTACTAGATCACGAGTGGAGAATTCAAGAGATAAGTGCTACCATAAGATGAAACAATATTAGAATAATTGTTTCCCAGAAGAAAAATAAAGAGAGAGAGGGGCAGAAGGTATATTGGAACAAATTATAACAGAGAACTTCCCTAATTTGGGGAAGGAAACAAGTATCAAAATCCAGGAGGCACAGAGAACTGCCCTCAAAATCAATAAAAATAGGTCAATACTCCAACATCTAGTAATAAAACTTACAAGTCTCAGAGACAAAGAGAAAATCCTGAAAGCAACTCAGGACAAGAGGTCTGTAACCTACAATGGTAGAAATATTAGATTGGAAACAGACCTCTCCACAGAGACCTGGCAGGCCAGAAAGGACTGGCATGATATATTCAGAGCACTGAATGAGAAAAATATGCAGCCAAGAATATTATATCCAGCTAGAATATCACTGAAAATAGAAGGAGAGATAAAAAAAAAAACCTTCCAGGACAAACAAAAATAAAGAATTTGTGAACACCAAGCCAGCCCTACAAGAAATATTGAAAGGGATCCTCTAAACAAAGAAAGAGCCTAAAAATAACATAGACCAGAAAGGAACAGAGACAATATACAGTAACAGTCAACTACAGGCAATACAGTGGCACTAAATTCATATCTTTCAATAGTTACCCTGAATGTAAATGGGCTAAATGCCCCAATCAAAAGACACAGGCTATCAGATCAAAAAAAAAAAAAAAAAAGACCCAGGGATATGCTATCTGCAAGAGACTCATTTTAGACTCTCCAGATTTAAAGTAAGGGAGTGGAAAACAATTTACCATGCCAATGGACATCAAAAGAAAGCTGGGGTGGCAATCCTTCTATCAGGCAAATTAGATTTTCAACCAAAGACTATAATAAGAGATGAGGAAGGGCACTACATCCTACTTAAAGGGTCTATCCAACAAGAAGATCTAACAATTGTAAATATCTATGACCCTAACATGGGAGCAGCCAATTACATAAGCCAATTAATAACAAAATCAAAGAAAGACATCGACAATAATACAATAACAGTAGGGGACTTTAACAACCCCCTCACTGAAATGGACAGATCATCTAAGCAAAAAATTAACAAGGAAAAAAGGCTTTAAAAGACACACTGGACCAGATGGACTTCACAGATATATTCAGAATGTTCCATCCCAAAGCAAAAGAATACACGTTCTTCTCGAGTGCCCATGGAACATTCTTCAGAATAGATCACATCCTGGGTCACAAAGCAGGTCTCAACCGGTACCAAAAGATTGGGATCATTCCCTGCATATTTTTGGAACACAATGCTTTGAAACTAGAACTAATCACAAAAGGAAAGTTGGAAAGAACTCAAATACATGGAGACTAAAGAGCATCCTACTAAAGAATGAATGGGTCAACCAGGACATTAAAGAAGAATTAAAAAAATTCATGGAAACAAATGAAAATGAAAACACAACTGTTCAAAATCTTTGGGATGCAGCAAAGGTGGTCCTAGGAGGACAGTATATAGCAGTACAAGCCTTTCTCAAAAAACAAGAAAGGTCTCAAATACACTACCTAACCCTACACTACAGAAGCTGGAGAAAGAACAGCAAATAAAGCCTAAACCCAGCAGGAGAAGAGAAATAATAAAGATCAGAGCAGAAATCAATGAAATAAGAACCAAAAGAACAGTAGAACAGATCAACGAAACTAGGAGCTGGTTCTTTGAAAGAATTAATAAGATTGATAAACCCCTGGCCAGATTTATCAAAAAGAAAAGAGAAATGACCCAAATAAATAAAATCATGAATGAAAGAGGAGAGATCACAACCAACACCAAAGAAATACAAACAATTATAAGAACATATGATCACCAAGACAACATGGTACTGGCACAAAAACAGACATATAGACCAATGGAGCAGAATAGAGAACCCAAATATGGACCCTCAACTCTATGGTCAAATAATCTTCGACAAAACAGGAAAAAACATGCAATGGAAAAAAGACAGTCTCTTCAATAAATGGTGCTGGGAAAATTGGACAGCCACATGCAGAAGAATGAAACTTGACCATTCTCTAACACCATTCACAAAGATAAACTCAAAGTGGATGAAAGACCTCAATGTGAGACAGAAATCCATCAAAATCCTAGAGGAGAACATAGGCAGTAACTTCTTTGACATCACCCACAGCAACTTCTTTCAAGGTACATCTCCAAAAGCTAGTGAAACAAAAGCAAAAATGAACTTTTGGGATTTCATCACGATAAAAAGCTTCTGCACAGCAAAGGAAACAGTCAACAAAACAAAGAGGCAACCCACAGAATGGGAGAAGATATTTGCAAATGACACTACAGATAAAGGACTGGTATCCAAGATCTATAAAGAACTTCTCAAGCTCAAAACCCGAAAAACAAATAATCAAGTCAAAAGGTGGGCAGAAGATATGAAAAGACGCTTCTCTGAAGAAGACATACAAATGGCTAACAGACACAAGCAAGAATGTTCATCATCATTAGCCATCAGGGAATTTCAAATCAAAACCACATTGAGATACCACCTTACACCAGTTAGAATGACAAAAACGGACAGGGAAAGAAACAACAAATGTTGGAGAGGTTGTGGAGAAAGGGGAACCCTCTTACACTGTTGATGGGAATGCACGTTGGTACAGCCACTTTGGAAAACAGTGTGGACGTTCCTCAAAAATTTAAAAATAGAGCTACCCTATGACCCAGCAATTGCATTACTGGGTATTTACCCCAAAGACACAGATGTAGTGAAAAGAAGGGCCATACGCACCCCAATGTTCATAGCAGCAATGTCCGCAATAGCCAAACTGTGGAAAGAGCCGAGATGCCCTTCAACAGACGAATGGATAAAGAAGATGTGGTCCATATATACAATGGAATATGACTCAGCCATCAGAAAGGATGAATACCCAACTTTTACATCAACATGGATGGGACTGGAAGAGATTATGCTAAGTGAAATAAGTCAAGCAGAGAAAGTCAATTATATGGTTTCACTTATTTGTGGAACATAAGGAATAGCATGGAGGACACTAGAAGAAGGAAGGGAAAAATGGGGGGGAGTTGGAGGGAGAGATGAACCATGAGAGACTGGACTCAGAAACAAACAGGGTTTTGGCAGGGGGAGGGGGAATTGGTTAACCCGGTGATGGGTATTAAGGAGGGCACATACTGCATGGAGCACTGGGTGTTATACGAAAACAATGGATTGTGGATCACCACATCAAAAACTAATGATGTTCTGTATGGTGACTAACATAACATAATAAAAATAATAATAAAAAAAAGAAATGGATGCATTCCTAGAGACGTATACAGTACCAAAACTGAACCAGAAAGAAATAGAAAATCTGAACAGACCCATGACCAGCAAGAAAATTGAAGCAGTAATTAAAAATCTCCCAACAAAGAGCCCAGGGCCAGATGGCTTCCCAGGGGAATTCTATCAAACATTTAAAGAAGAATTAATACCTATTCTTATGAAACTGTTCCAAAAAATAGAAATGGAAGGAAAACATCCAAACTCATTTTATGAGGCCAGCATTACCTTGCTCCCAAAAGCAAAGACCCCATCAAAAAGCAGAACTACAGACCAACATCCCTGATGCACATGGATGCAAAAATTCTCAGCAAAATACTAGCCAATAGGATCCAATAGTACATTAAAAGGATTATTCACCACGACCAAGTGGGTTTTATCCCTGGGCTGCAAGGTTGGTTCAACATCTGCAAATCAATCAATGTGATACAATACACTAATAAAAGAAAGAACAAGAACCATATGATCCTCTCAACAGATACAGAAAAAGCCCTTGAAAAAGTATAGCATCCTTTCTTGATCAAAACTCTTCAGAGTATAGGGATAGAAGGTACATACCTCAATATCATAAAAGCCATCAATGAAAAACCCACAGCGAATATCATTCTCAATGGGGAAAAACTGAGAGCTTTCCCCCTAAGGTCAGGAACACAGCAGGGATGTCCACTATCACCACTGCTATTCAACATAGTATTAGAAGTCCTAGCCACACCAATCAGACAACAAAAAGAAATAAAAGGCATCTGAATCGGCAGAGAAGTCAAACTCTCACTGTTTGCAGATGATATGATACTTTATGTGGAAAACCCAAAGACTCCACCCAAAAACTGCTAGAACTCATAAAGGAATTCAGTAAAGTGGTAGGATATAAAATCAATGCATAGAAATCAGTTGCATTTCTATACACCAACAATGAAACAGAAGAAAGAGAAATTAAGGAGTCGATCCCATTTACAATTGCACCCAAAACCATAAGATACCTAGCAATAAATCTAACCAAAGAAGCAAAGAATCTGTACTCAGAAAACTATAAAATACTCATGAACGAAATTGAGGAAGACACAAAGAAATGGAAAAACGTTCCATGCTCACGGATTGGAAGAACAAATATTGTGAAGATGTCAATGCTACCAAGAGCAATCTACACATTCAATGCAATCTGCATCAAAATACCATCAACGTTTTTCAAAGAAATGGAAAAAATAATCCTAAAATTTGTACAGAAACAGAAAAGACCCCGAATAGCCAGAGGAATGTTGAAAAAGAAAAGCAAAGCTGGTGGCATCACAATTCCGGACTTCCAGCTCTATTACAAAGCTGTCATCATCAAGACAGTATGGTACTGGCACAAAAGCAGACACATAGATCAATGGAACAGAATAGAGAGCCCAGAAATGGACCCTCAATTCTATGGTCAACTAATCTTCAACAAAGCACGAAAGAATGTCCAGTGGAAAAAAGTCTCTTCAACAAATGGTGTTGGGAAAATTGGACAGCCACATGCAGAATAATGAAACTGGACCATTTCCTTACACCACACACAAAAATAGACTCAAAATGGTTGAAAGACCTCAATGTGAGACAGGAGTCCATCCAAATGCTACAGGAGAACACAGGCAGCAACCTTTTCAACCTCAGCCACAGCAACTTCTTCCTAGAAACCTCACCAAAGGAAAGGGAAGAAAGGGCAAAAATGAACTATTGGGACTTCATCAAGATAAAAAGCTTTGCACAGCAAAAGAAACAGTCAACAAAACCAAAAGACAAGAGACAGAATGGAAGAAGATATTTGCAAATGACATATTAGATAAAGGGCTAGTATCCAAAATCTATAAAGAACTTATTAAAATCAACACCCAAAGAACAAATGATCCAATCAAGCAATGGGCAAAAGATATGAACAGACATTTTTGCAAAGAAGACATCCAAATGACCAACAGACACATGAAAAAGTGCTCAACATTCCTCGGCATCAGGGAAATCCAAAATAAAACCTCAATGAGATGCCACTTCACACCACTCAGAATGGCTAAAATTAACAAGTCAGGAGATGATAGATGTTGGTGGGGTTGTGGAGAAAGGGGAACCCTCCTACACTGTTGGTGGGAATGCAAGCTGGTGCAGCCACTCTGGCAAACAGTATGGAGGTTCCTCAAAAAGTTGAAAATAGAGCTACCCTATGACACAGCAATTGCACTACTGGGTATTTACCCCAACGATACAAATGTAGTGATCTGAAGGGGCACATGCACTGCAATGTTTATAGCAGCGATGTCCACCATTAGCCAAACTATGGAAAGAGCCAATTGTCCATCAACAGATGAATGGATAAAGAAGAGGTGGTATATATATACAATGGAATATTATGCAGCCATCAAAAAAATGAAATCTTGCTATTTGCAACGACATGGATGGAACTAGAGGGTATTATGCTAAGCAAAATAAGTCAATTAGAGAAAGACTAGTATCATATGATCTCACTGATATGAGGAATTAGAGAAACAAGACAGAGGATCATAGGGGAAGGGAGTGAAAAATGTAAAAAGTTGAAACCAGAGAGGGGGACAAACCATAAGAGACTCTTAATCTCAGGAAACAAACTGAGGGTTGCTGGAGTAGAGGGGTTGGGAGGGATGGGGTGGCTGGGTGATGGACAATGGGGAAAGTATGTACTATGGTGAGCGCTGTGAGTTGTATAAGACTGATGAATCACAGACCTTTAGCCCTGAAACAAATAATACATTATATGTTAATTAAAATAATTTTAAAAATTCTTTAATAACTTTAAACAAAGTCCGTTTAACTTTTCATAGTGAAAACCAGCTCTATGCAGCCAGCCCTTTTCAAAGCGTCTGTTGCTTACTTGCAAAGGAACCTAGGTATGAATGTAGATGAATCAATGCAAATTCATCACAATTGTTGGAAAATAAAGCACATAATGGGGATTGGGTAAAATTTATATTATAAAAACTTTGGCAAATTTTACTGCTAATAAAAACGAAGTAACAGCTTTCCAGTACATTGTTGTGTATAGATTAATGGAAGTTTCACTCTGAACCATAAAATATATTTATTTTAGTGATGTTACATAATAAAATATTAATTTTAAGCTTTTCATTGATTATAATAAAGTGAAAGTTTTTAGAAAACATAATAATATAGAGAAGGACCCAATGCTACTCATGTGATACCCTACTTTTATACTAGGTATTTTTACTGTCTTAGACAAACAATTACACAGGAATAAAAATCCTACATAGAATGGAAACTTTTGTTAGTCATCATTCTTTTGTTTTTCTGAAATTATTAAAATTACTGCTTAGTTTAAAAAATATATGTGGCTCTCAAGTCCTAGAATGGTAATTTCCTTTTAATAATGGGGAAAATAATAAATATGAGTTTACAATAAACTTTATATAGCAGCCATATGGAATCAATTGCTAAATGATAATTTTTTTAAAAAATGACAATGTTTTAAAAAATTTTTGAGACATAGATCTAAAACACTTCAGGATACAAAATAATTGGCATAAGAACAAAAACAACCATCACAATATGAATAATACTAAATCTTATATGAAGTAAATATTAATTTTATATTACTATGGAATCAATTCTATATGCTATATATACATATATTGCAAACTAATATGTATATATAAATAATTTATCCTCCTCCTGTATATTGTTATATCTTGAATACCTAGTATAGTGCTAGAACATGATAGGCACTAAAAAAAATACTTGAATGTATGAATGAATGAGCTCTCTGAAGGCCTCAGTAGTCATCTCCTATAAGAGAAGAGTCTAAAACTATTAGTGGCTGTCAGTATATCCGAGATGTGAACTTTTTCAAATGAAATTCGTGAATTAATCTTCAATTTAAAAAAAGTAATTTACATGAAGATCTCTAGTAAGACTAGCAACATGAGCCCTGGTTGTTGTATTGATACTATGCTCCTATGAGGACTATGTAAATGTAAGAGGATTCCATATGGCCCAAATGGGAAGGGATACTAATGGAATAGATTACTAGTAAAGTCATTTCATACTAATATTTAAATTTACTCTATTTGCTTTCAAGAAACACACACCTAATTATACTTCTACTGACCTTGGATATTCTGAATGTTTCCGTCATCAGACATGATGGTGAAGGTTTCCCCAGGGTTAACTTGCACAAATATAATCTAGAAATAAACCATTCTTTGATGAAAAACTTTTCTGTTTATTAATCTATGAAAAATCATTATTGTCATTTTTTTAAAGTTTTATTTAAATTCCAGTTAGTTAACATAGAATGTAATATTAGTGTTAGGTGTACAGTTTAGTGATTCAACACTTACATACAGCATCCTGTGCTCATCACAAGTGCACTCCTTAAGCCTTATCACATATTTAACCCATCTTCCCTCTCCCTCCATTCTGGAAACCATCAGTTTGTTCTCTGTAGGTAAGAGTCTACTTCTTGCTTTGTCTCTCTCTTTTTTCCTTTGCTCATTTGTTTTGTTTCTTAAATTACACATATGAATGAAATCATATGGTATTTGTCTTTCTCTTACTGGCATTTCACCTTAGCATTATGTTCTCTAGCTCCATCTATGTCATTATTTGTGCTGTTTCCATAATTTGGCTATTGTAGATAATGCAGCTATAAATATTGGGGTACATATGTCTTTTCAAATTGATATTTTTGTATTCCTTGGGTAAATACCTAGTAGTGCAATTGTGGATCGTAAGGTAGTTCTATTTTTAACTTTTTGAAGAACAAGACAGGGATATCCATTCTCACCGCGTTTAGTTAACATAGTCTTGCAAATCCTAGCCACAGCAATCAGACAACAAAAGCAATAAACGCATCCAACTTGGCAAGGAAAAAAATCAAACTTTCACTTTTTGCAGATGACATGATACTCTATATAGAAAACCCAAAAGACTCCACCCAAATATTGCTATAACTGATACAGGAATTCAGCAGAATTACAGGATATAAAATCAATGCACAGAAGTCAGTTGCATTTCTATACACCAATAATGAAGCAGCAGAAAGAGAAATTAAGGAATCAATCCCATTTACGATTGCACCCAAACCCGTAAGATATCTAGGAATAAACCTAACTAAAGAGGTAAACAACCTGTGATCTGAAAACTGTAAAACACTTATGAAAGAAATTGAAGTTGACACAAAGGAATGGAAAACCATTCCATGCTCATGGATTGGAAGAACAAATATTGTTACAATGGCTATATTATCAAAATCAGTCTACACCTTTAATGCAATCCCTATCAAAATACCATCAGCATTTTTCAGAGCTAGAATAAACAATCCTAAACTGTGTATGGAACCACAAAAGACCCCAAACAAACAAAGCAATCTTGAAAAAGAAAAGCAAAGCAGAAGACAACACAATTCCAGACTTCAAGTTATATTATAAAGCTATAGTCATCAAGACAGTATGGTACTGACATAAAAACAGACATAGATCGATGGAACAGAATAGAAAACCCAGATGGACCCACAGCTATATGGTCAACTAATCTTTGACAAAGCAGGAGAGAATATCTGATGGACAAAAGACAGTGTCTTCAACAAATGGTGTTGGGAAAACTGGACAGCAACATGCAGAAAAATGAAACTGGACCACTTTCTTGTACCATGCACAAAAATAAACTCAAAATGGATGAAAGACCTACGTGCGAGACAGGAAGCCATTAAAATCGTAGAAGAGAACAAAGGCAGCAAACTCTTTGAGATTGGCTGTGGCAACATCTTACTAGATATGTCTCTTGAGGCAAGGGAAACAAAAGCAAAACCAAACTATTGGAACGTCATCAAGATAAAAAGCTTCTGCACAGTGAAGGAAACAATCAACAAAACTAAAAGGCAACCTATGGAATGGGAGAGAATATTTGCAAATGACTTCTCAGAAAAAGGGCTTGTATCCAAAATGTATAAAGAACTTATAAGACTCAGCACCCAAAAAACAAATAATCAGGTTAAAAAAAGAACATACATAACTAATGAATCATGGAATGCTACAATAAAAACTAATGAAGTGCTCTATGGTGACTAACATAACATAATAATAATAATAAAAGAACTGAACTGCAAAAAAAAAAAAAAAAAAGAAGACACGAATAGGCATTTCTCCAAAGAAGACATCCAGATGGCCAACAGACATATGAGAGGATGCTCAACATCACTGACCATCAGGGAAATGCAAATGAAAACTACAATGAGATAGCACCTCACACTTATCAGAATGACTAAAATTAACACAAGAAACAACAGGTGTGGGTGAGGATATGGAGAAAGGAGAAGCTAAAACTCTGTTGTTGGTGGGAATGCAAACTGGTGCAGCCACTCTGGAAAACAGTATGGAAGTTCATTATTGTCATTTTGAAAAATATTCAGACTCACTAATTATTGGAGTCTTCAAATGCTCAAGAAGAAGAGTACATTTGGATCAATGGGCACTTAGGAGAAGTTCAATATCCCTAAGTAACGGGTCCTCCCCCATCCAAGTAAAACTTAATATAATAAGGTCATAGAAAATAGGTGCATTGAGGGCACGTTTTGCATGGTGCACTGGGTGTTATGAACAAACAATGAATCATGGAACACTGCATCAAAAACTAATGATGTAATATATGGTGATTAACATAACAATAAAAAATTAAAAAAAAAAAGAAAATAGGTGCATTGACATGGAAAGACTAATTCCCACTCTCCAGGAAAAAAAAAAAAAACAACACCTGTAAAAAGTGAAAAACAGAAAACAAAACTTGTCTGATGGTAAAATTCAAATGTACTTGTTGTATCCAATACTGAGGAAAAGAAGACCGTCTGGTATATCTCTTGGGATGAGTCATCATTTGTGAATAATTGGTAGTATACTGTGTTCCAACAGTGGTGTCCAGATGATAATTCTCCATCTAGTAAAAAAAAAAAATGTATATTTAGGGGAGGAGAAAAAGATGGCGGAGGAGTAGGGGACCCTTTTCCAACCAGTCCCCTGAATTGAGCTGGATATCCACCAGACCACTCTGAACACCAACGAAATCAGCCTGAGATGTAAGACGATATATCTGGATCTCTACAAACAGAATATCACCAGCGGTTGGTTTTGAGGTATGAAGCAGGGAGCTGTGATTCCGAGCACAGATATCGGAAGATAAATGGAAGGGGGAGGGAACAATGGGGATCTTGCACCACCAGTAAGCAAAAGCCTCCCACGCTGGGGACAGGGCACAGACTTGCAGACCAGTAGCAGCAGAAAAGGACCTTAAGGCAGTCCCCAAGACTGAAACCTGGAGCAGCCGGTGGGGACAGGCATGTGAACTGGGGATGCCTGGTGATTTTAGAAGCACAGAAGGGCAGAGACTTGCCCCTGTGCCCTGACCTGGAGGCAAGGACTGGGAGCCCTGCTGATGGGAGCACAACCCAAGATGCTGTGGTTTATAGCAGCACAGACAGAAACAAGATAGTGTGGCCTGGAGAGCTCACTGAAGAATAGTCTGCAATCTCTCTGCTCTGAGGGAGAGGGTTGAAAATGATCTCTTCTCTCTGACTCTTGGAAGAGACACGAAAAGCCACCAGGAAAGCCGTGAGAGAACAAAAGACCCATAAAACCGGTTTTCACTGAGCCAATCCCCCCAACAGGGGGCAGGGAAACTCTGCCCAAACAGGGTTGCCTGAGTAACAGCACGGCAAAACCTTCCCCCAGAAGACATGCTGGGAGAACAAGAGGCCAACAACCCTAAGGTCCCTATAAAACAGGTGCATCTTGCTTGGGTTGTGGTCAATAATTTGGGCTCTCTACACTCCCTCAACTAGCCCTCAACAAAATGACTAGCAGGAGGAACCCCCAAAATAAGAAAGACTCAGAGACTGTGACTTCTGCCACAGATTAACAAATGGATACAGATATAACCAAGATGTTGGAAATGGAATTTAGGGTAGCAATTGTGAAGACCATAGCTAGAAGGGAGAAAATGATCAATGCCAACACAGTCTCTAAAGGCAGAAATGAAAGCTGAACTGGCAGAACTTAAAAATGCTATCAGTGAGATCCAATCTAATACACATAATCTAACAGCTAGGGTAAGCAAGGCAGAAGAACCAATTAGTGGTTTAGAAGACCAATTAATAGACAAGAAAGGGAAAGAAGAGGCCACGGGGAAAAAACTCAGAATTCATGAAAATAGAATCAGAGAAATAAGTGACACCATGAAACGTTCCAATATCAGAGTTATTGAGATCCCTGAGGGGGTGGAGAGAGAGAGAGGACTAGAAGCTATATTTGAGGAAGTCGTAGCTGAGAAATTCCCTAATCTGGGGAATGAAACAAACATTCGTGTCCTAGAGGCAGAGAGGATCCCTCCCAAGATAAAGGAGAACAGACCAATGCCTCAGCATGTAATAGTAAATCTTGCAAATCTTAGAACCAAGGAAACCATCTTAAGCGCAGTTAGGAGGAAAAGATTCCTTACGTACAGAGGGAGGAACATCAGAATAATATCAGACCTATCCACAGAGACCTGGCAAGCCAGAAAGGCCTGGAAAGACATATTCAGGGTACTAAATGAGAAGACCATGCAGCCAAGAATACTTTATCCAGCAAGGCTGTCATTTAGAATGGATGGAGAGATGCAGAGCTCCCAGGACTGGCAGAACCTGAAAGAATATGTCACCACTAAGCCAGCCCTGCAAGAAATATTAAGGGGGGTTCTATAAAAGGAGAAAGACCCCAAGAGTGATATAGAACAGAAATTTACAGAGACAATCTATAGAAACGAGGACTTCACAGGCAACATGATGACAATTAATTCATATCTTTCAATAATCACTCTCAATGTGAATGACCTATATGCTCCCATAAAATGGCGCAGGGTTGCAGATTGGATAAAAAGACAGGACCCATCCATATGCTGTCTACAAGAGACTCATTTTGAACCTAAAGATGCAACCAGACTGAAAGTGAAGGGATGGAGATCCATCTTCCATGCCAAAGGACCTCAAAAGAAAGCTGGGGTAGCAATTCTCACATAAGACAAACTAGATTTTAAGCCAAAGACTGTAGTTAGAGACACAGAAGGACACTCTATCATTCCTAAAGGGTCTATCCAACAAGAATATCTAACAATTGTAAACATCTATGCCCCGAAAATGGGAGCAGCCAACTACATAAGCCAAATGTTAACCAAAATACAGTCATATTGATAATAATATGTTAATTGTAGGAGACCTCAATACCCCACTCTCAGCAGTAGACAGATCATCTAAGCAGAAAACCAACAAAGAAACAAGAGCTTTGAATGACACACTGGACCAGATGGACCTCATAGATATATACAGAACATTCCACCCTAAAACAACAGAATACACATTGTTCTCGAGCACACACGGAACCTCCTCCAGAATAGACCACATACTAGGTCACAAATCAGGTCTCCACCGATAACAAATGACTGAGATTATTCCCTGCATTTTCTCAGACCATAATGCTTTAAAAGTGGAAATCAATCACAAGAAAAAATTTGGAAGAAATTCAAACACATGGAAGCTAAAGACCACTCTTCTTAAGAAGGTTTGTGCGAACCAGGAAATCAAAAAAGAACTTAAACAATTCATGGAAACCAATGAGAATGAAAACACATTGGTCTAAAACCCACTGGATACTGCAAAGGCAGTCCTAAGGGGGAAATACGTAGCCATCCAAGCCTCACTCAAAAAAATAGAAAAATCCCGAATTCACCAACTGACTTTACACCTTAAAGAACTGGAGAAAAAGCAATAAACGATGCCTAATCCATGCATTAGAAGAGAAATAATTAAGATTAGAGCAGAGATCAATGAATTAGAAACCAGAAACAGTAGATCAGATCAATGAAACTAGAAGCTCGTTCTTTGAAAGAATTAGTAAGATCAATAAACCACTGGCCAGGCTTATACATAAGAAAAGAAGGATCCAAATTAATAAAATTATGAATGAAAGGGGAGAGATCATGACTAACACCAAGGAAATAGAAACAATTATTAGAAACTATTATCAACAACTATATGCCAATAAATTAAGTAACCTGGAAGAAATGGATGCTTTCCTGGAGACCTATAAACTGTCAAGACTGAAACAGGAAGAAACTGACAACCTGAATAGGCCAATAACCAATAATGAGATTGAAACAGTGATCAAAAACCTCCCCAAAAACAAGAGTCCAGGGCCTAATGGACTCCCTGGGGAATTCTACCAAACAGTCAAAGAAAAAATAATACCTATTCTCCTTGAAGCTGTTTAAAAAAATAAGAACAGAAGGAAAGCTTCTAGACTCATTCCATGAAGCCAGCATTACCTTAATCCCCAAACCAGGCAAAGACCCCATCAAAAAAGAGAATTTCAGACCGATATCCCTGATGAATATGGATTCCAAAATCCTCAACAAAATCCTAGGTAACAGGATCCAATAATACATTAAAAGGATCATCCACTACGACCAATGGGATTTATCCCCAGGATGCAAGTGTGGTTCAACATTTGCAAATCAATCAATGTGACAGAAGACATTAATAGGAGAGAGAAGAACCCTATGGTCCTCTCAATTGATGCAGAAAAAGCATTTGACAAAATACAGCATCATTTCCTGATTAAAACTCTTCAGAGTATAGGGATAGAGGGAACATTCCTCAAGTTCATAAAATCCATCTATGAAAACCCCACAGCGAGTATCATCCTCAATGGGGAAAAGCTGAGAGCCTTTCCCTTAAGATCAGGAACACGACAAGGATGACCACTCTCGTCACTATTGTTCAACATAGTACTAGAAGTCCTAGCAACAGCAATCAGACAACAAAAAGAAATAAAAGGTATTCAAATTGGGAAAGAAGAAGTCAAACTCTCTCTTTTTGCAGATGACATGATACTTTATGTGGAAAACCCAAAAGACTCCACCCCCAAATTACTGGAACTCATACAGGAATTCAGTAATGTGGCAGGATACAAAGTCAATGCACAGAAATCAGTTGCTTTCTTATGCACTAACAATGCAACTGTAAAAAGTGAAATTAGAGAAATGATTCCATTTATAATAGCACCAAAAACCGTAAGATACCTCGGAATAAACCTAACCAAAGAAGTAAAGCATCTATACTCTAGAAACTACAGAACACTCATGAAAGAAATTGGAGAAGACACAAAAGATGGAAAAACATTCCATGCTCATGGATTGGAAGAATAAACATTGTAAAAATGTCTATGCTACCCAGAGCAATCTATACCTTCAATGCCATCCCAATAAAAATTCCAATGATATTTTTCAAAGCGCTGGAACAAACTATCCTAAAATTCGTATGAAATCAGAAAAGACCCCGAATCGCCAAGGAAATGTTAAAAAAAAATAAAGCTGGGGGCATCCAGTTGCCCTATCTGAAGCTATATTACAAAGCAGTGATCACCTAGACAGCATGGTACTGCCACAAAAACGGACATATAGACCAAAGAACAGAATAGAGAGCCCTGATATGGATCCTCTACTCTATGGTCAAATAATCTTTGACAAAGCAGGAAAAAACATGCAATGGAAAAAAGACAGTCTCTTCAATAAATGGTGCTGGGAAAATTGGACAGTTATATACAGAAGAATGAAACTCGACCATTCTCTAACACCATACACAAAGATAAGCTCAAAATGGATGAAAGACCTCAATATGCGACAGGAATCTATCAAAATCCTAAAGGAGAACATAGGCAGTAAGCTCTTTGACATCAGCCACAGCAACTCCTTTCAAGATACATCTCCAAAGGCTAGTGAAACAAAAGCAAAAATGAACTTTTAGGACTTCCTCAAGATTAAAAGCTTTTGCACAGCAAAGGAAACAGTCAACAAAGCAAAGAGGCAACCCAGAGAATGGGAGAAGATATTTGCAAATGACACTACAGATAAAGGGCTGATATCCAAGATCTATAATGAACTGCTCAAACACCCAGAAAACAAATAATCAAGTCAAAAAATGGGCAGAAGACATGAACAGACACTTCTCTAAAGAAGACATACAAAGGGCTAACAGACACATGAAAAAATGTTCATCATCATTAGCCATCAGGGAAATTAAAATCAAAACCACATTGAGATACCACCTTACACCTGTTAGAATGGCAAAAATTGACAAGGCAAGAAACAACAAATGTTGGAGAGGTTGTGGAGAAAGGGGAACCCTCTTACACTGTTGGTGGGAATGCGCGTTGGTACAGCCACTTTGGAAAACAGTGTGGAGGTGCCTCAAAAAATTAAAAATAGCGCTACCCTATGACCCAACAATTGCACTCCTGGGTATTTACCCCAAAGACACAGAGGTAGTGAAAAGAAGGGCCGTATGCACCCCAATGTTCATAGCAGCAATGTCTGCAATAGCCAAACTGTGGAAAGAGCCGAGATGCCCTTCAACAGATGAGTGGATAAAGAAGATATGGTCCATATATACAATGGAATATTACTCAACCATCAGAAAGGATGAATACCCAACTTTTACATCAACATGGATGGGACTGGAAGAGATTATGCTAAGTGAAATAGTCAAGCAGAGAAAGTCAACTATCATATGGTTTCACTTATTTGTGGAACATAAGGAATAACATGGAGGACATTAGGAGAAGGAAGGGAAAAATGAAGGGGGGAAATCAGAGGGGGAGACAAACCATGAGTGACTATGGACTCTGGTAAACAAACTGAGGGTTTTGGGGTGGTGGGATGTTGGGTTAGCCTGTTCATGGGTATTAAGGAGGTCATGTACTGCATGGAGCACTGGGTGTTATATGAAAATAATGAATCATGGAACATTACATCAAAAACTGATGATGTACTGTACAGTGACTAACATAACATAATAAAATTAAATTAAATTAAAAAAACAAAAAATGTACATTTAATTTCAGGAAGGTCATTTGTACCTCCGTTCCTTTTGATATGGTGATGTCAAACCAAATTATAATGCAGAAGTAGAATATTTACTTTTTTAACTCCAAAGAAAAAAGTTAAGTGATTTTTCACACTGTATATGTAGATAAGACTTTTCCTGAATAGGGATGCCTGGGTGGCTCAGTGTTAGTTACGTTGCTGACTCTTGATTTTGGCTTAGGTCATGATCTCGGAGTCCTGGGATTGAACCCCATATCAGGCTCTGCTTACTGTGGGAAGTCTGCTTCAGCATTCTCTCTCTCACTCTGCCCTTCCCTTTCTTTCTCTCTCTAAATAAATAAATCTTAAAAAAAAGACTTTTTTTGAATAGATTGCTTTAAATGAATAAATGCTAAATCTAAACCACATTCTTTCTTTCTTGAAACCAATCCGGTAGGTAGAAGTCATTGCTGCTCAAAATAAACCTTTAAATATTAGAAAATTGAACTCACAGATATGAATGAGTATGAAAGAAGTTTAGTGTGCTTTAGAGTCATACTTTTAGACTATTCATCAGAAGATACTGTCTGTGGATAGTATAATCTTTCAACACCAGGACTTTTGAGCTGATCAAGGGAGGCTGAAAAAGCAGCTAAATCCACCCGAAAGGAGGTTATATGTGGCCTAAATGTCTCTAACTGGATTTTAAAAAGGCTACAAGGAAGATAAATCAATGTTTGTGAAAAGACTGAAAACTTCCAAATTAAGTGGCCAATCATAAAAATGATACACGTTTTCTAAATAAAGGCAATACTGGATTCAAGAAAGACTTGACCAGTTATAATGAAAAAGAAAGAGCAAAACTATCCTTACCTGATGCATGGGGTCGCCATTGATACCTGAAGCTACAGGAGGTATTTCAGTAAGAGTAGGTGTAAGCCCATGTTCAGCCATGTCTAAAAAGATTGGCTTTCACTCTAAGTGATGTTTCTAGAAAGAGTGTAATTGTAAATTAAACAAATGAAGTCAAAGCAGTGATTTTAAATGACAAAATCTGATGAAATACTCCTTAGAAAAGGCATTTTAAATACTTTTTCTTTCCAGAAATGTTACTTAACTGAAATTGTTCTATGGCAACATTTCAAAGTAATCATTAGTCTTCATAAATAAAAATATATGAAATCTGGTGTCAAGAGGTTGGAATTGTTCACGCTTCACTCATGAAAACAAGTGAAGGTAGCTCCATTTCACAGCATGAAGAATTGTTTAGTTAAACAAGTCATTGGTCATTTGAGCCATTCAGATCAAGTCCATTTAATTTCTAATCTATGATTTTAATTGCCAAATAAGACTTCATATTGATTAGAAGGCTGTAAGAATCAACCAGATCTGTTTAAAAAGGATAGGAACATAGATAATTACTTTAACTCAGATACTAAACCCAAATATCTTAAACATAGCCCAAAGCTTCCAACCAAAACCTTTAGACTTAAAATACTTTCCAGGTTCAAATACCTCATGTGTAGATGGCACCAAGTGATGAAATATGGTAGGTTAGTCCAGATCCTTGATTCCATAAACACTTGGACAAAAATCAGAAAGAATAATATGATTCTTTTGAACGTGGAGAAAGAGGATACTCAAGGGAGGACCTCTTGGAGCTAGTCAAGTCCTCCAAATGAAGTGTACTGTTATGATTCACAACTCCTTGGTAACACTGATGTAAAAGAATGTTCACTATGTCACAATTCTAGTCACTACTTACATCATTTCCTTACCAAGATTTTATGTATTCCTAGGAGACTTTTTACTGGCAAATACAACTTTTCATAAATGAGAGACTCAAATTTTTTTAAAATGAAAACTTTCGGGAGTCATAAAGAAATATGGAGCCTATGTAGCAGGAAAATGTGTATGTTCTCTTACGTTAGGGATATAGGAAATAGCTATGTACTTAGTGTTCTTTTTAAAATATCTACTCAACAGTGAAAATCACTTTAGGCTAATTTAAATCTCTCTTGCATTACCACAGAATTTGTTTCACTTATGGTAAAAGTCATTGTTCTCCTAGTCATTCAAATGACTGCACTGATCAAGATTTAAAACAACCTACAATGACATTTTAAAAATAGAGACTATAGCAACAATCTCTTTGCATGTGTGTATATGTGTGTGTGTGTGTGTGTGTGTGTGTGTATCCCCTCCCATCCCTTAATCTCTTAATTTTCATGAGAACTCCCAATCATTGGTGCATATGATATGTCATATTAATAGAATTTACTGCTGGGGTGGTAGTCCAAGATGGCGGAGGAGTAAGAGACCTAAATTTTGTCCTAAATTCAGCTAGATAGCTATCAAACCATTCTGGATACCTACAAACTCAATAGGAGATCGAAGAAAAGAATAGCATCAACTCTATGAACAAAAAAGTGACCACTTTCTGCAAGGTAGGACATGTGGAGAAGTGAATCTGAGGCAATTTAGATTGCCTGTGGAGAATTGATTGCCAGATTGCCTCCACAAGATAGACTGCAGGGAGTGGGGGGGAACCTCTGTCAGCTGGCTACTGGCAAGTGATAGAGCAGAAGAGCACAAAATCAGAATTTTTAAAGTCTGCTGTGCCAAGGGACATCATTCCAGGGCTAAGCAGGGGGTGGAGCTCTCGCTGGGATAGTGTGGTCTCAGGACCCTCAGGATCACAGAAAGACTGGGGGTGCCTGAGTGCAGCAGAGCTCCCACGTATTGGAGTGGGGAAGCCAGCTGCAAAGAGTGAGCCGAAGAGTGGGCTTTCAGCTCGGGGTTGCCATAAACCGTGGCCCATGACATAGTGGGGCCACTACTCTTTGAGCAGAGGCCCAACAACCAGCAGATCTGGAGTGACTTCCTTTCCTCCCTAGGGAGGAGCGGCACGGGAGCATGTGGCAGGAATCTGCTGGGTTTGGAGCCTCCAAACAGGACTATGTGCCAGAGATAGAATGCTCGGTCACAGGCCGGGTGAGCACGGAATGCAGCTGGAGACGAGGGAGACAGGAGTGATTGACTGCTTTTCTCTGAGGTCTCACTGAGGAGTGGGGCCCCAAGCTCTCAGCTCCTCTGGGGCCAGAGATTGGGAGGCCACCATTTTCATTCTCATCCTCTAAAGATGTGCGGAAAGCCTTCAGGGAACAAACACTACCGAGAGCAAACCCCAGCAGATTACTTAGCCTGGCCCCTGGCAAGGGCAGTGCAATTCTGCCTGGGGCAGACATTTGAGAATCAATGCAACATGCCCCTCCCCCAGAAGATCAGAAAGAACATCCAGCCACATGGTGAGTGCTGTGAATTGTGCAAGACTGTTGAATCACAGATCTGTACCTCTGAAACAAATAATGCAATATATGTTAAGAAAAAGAAAAAGAAGAAGAAGATAGCAGGAGGGGAAGAATGAAGGGGGGTAAATCGGATGAGGAGACAAACCATGAGAGATGATGGACTCTGAAAAACAAACAGGGTTCTAGAGGGGAGGGGGTGGGAGGATGGGTTAGCCTGGTGATGAGTATCAAAGAGGGCACGTTCTGCGTGGAGCACTGGGTGTTATGCACAAACAATGAATCATGGAACACTACATCACAAACTAATGATGTAATGTATGGTGATTAACATAACAATAAAAAAATTTAAAGAAAAAAAGGATAGCAAGATGGGAAGAATGAAGGGGGGGAAATCGGAGGGGGAGATGAACCATGAGAGACTATGGACTCTGAGAAACAAACTGAGGGTTCTAGAGGGGAGAGGGGTGGGGGGATGGGTTGGCCTGGTGGTGGGTATTAAGGAGGGCACGTTCTGCATGGAGCATTGGGTGTTATGCACAAACAATGAATCATGGAACACTACATCAAAAACTAATGATGTAATGTATGGTGATTAACATAACATAATAATAATAAAAAAATAAAATCAACAGGATTTATAAGAAAAAAAAAAGAACATCCAGCCACGACTAAGTTTACCAATCAATAAGAACTGCAAAACTCCAGGGCTAGGGCAATATACCACATAGAATTCATGGCTTTTTCCCCATGATTCTTTAGTCTTTCAAGTTTAATTTTTTTAAGATTTTTTCTTTTTTTTAAATTTTTCTTTCCCTTTTCAACCAACTTCTTATCTTTTCAATTCATTCTTTAAAATCTTTTTTAATTTTCATTTTTACAGTCATATTCTATCCCTTCATCATATTTAATCTTATTTTTTGTATATATATACATTTTTCTTATATATTTAAGCTTCTTAGTAGTTTTTTTTTTAAGATTTTATTTATTTATTTGACAGAAAGAGACACAGTGAGAGAGGGAACACAAACAGGGAGTGGGAGAGGGAGAAGCAGGCTCCTCACTGAGCAGGGAGACTGATGTGGGGCTCGATCCCAGCTGGGATCATGACCTGAGCCAAAGGCAGACACTTAACAATTGAGCCACCCAGGCACCTCAGCTTCTTAGTAGTTTTGATATATTTAATTTCAAGCTGAGTCTAAGTTCCTTAAGTATCCTTACCGTTCCATAAATGCATAGGGAATGCTACAGTTAAAAAACGTTGATGGGATGCCCTACTGCATGTTGCTATAAAGGGTTTTTGTGCCCCACTCCATAAAGCCCAAGCTAAACCATATGACTATACACAAGTAACACTAAAATAAAGTATAGCAATCAGGGAACGACTACAAGGAATTATTCTGCTTTATGAATATTCATAGAGTTTATTTAATTCAGTTGTTCAGATGACAGTATTAAAATTTTATAGTAAGTAGACATATTTAAATGATTTCAAATGGATTATTTTGATAGCTAATGTTTTATGTAGTATGATAAAAGGATAACTTCAGAACCCCATCTAAGTACATTTTATACTATCCCATACATAATCGTTTTGAAGAAATTTGTGAACCTTAAACACTACCTCTTTTAGAGAAAGAAAATACCTCAAAAATTTAACCTGATTAAGATGCAATGCTTAGGGATGCCTGGGTGGCTCAGGCCGTTAAGCGTCTCCCTTTGGCTCAGGTCATGATTCCAGGGTCCTGGGATTGAGTCCCACATCGGGCTCCCTGCTCAGCGGGGAGTCTGCTTCTCCTTCTCCCTTCTGCCTCTCCCCCCGCTGGTGCTCGTTCCTCCTCCCTCTCTAATAAATAAATAAAATCTTAAAAAAAAAGAAGCAATGCTTACTTTCCAGAATTATGTTTTAGACTTAGAATTTCCCTATAAGCTTATAATTTGTGTATTTCAATTTAGAATGCATAGTTTTGGTCAAAAAGTGCTTGTGTTTCCTACTCTTTCCTTCAGATGTATTATTATTATTATTTTTAAAGATTATTTATTTATTTGACAAAGAGAGACACAGCGAGAGCAGGAACACAAGCAGGGGGAGTGGGAGAAGGAGAAGCAGGCTTCCCGCCGAGCAGGGATCCCAATATGGAGCTCGATCCCTGGACCCTGAGATCATGACCTGAGCTGAAGGCAGATGCTTAATGACTTGAGCCACCCAGGTGCCCCCTTCAGAAGTACTATTCATAAGATAAAGTTCCTTACAGCAACTTTTTAGTATTCTGATTCCAAAGTCACAAATAATTGCTTCTAAAACTGGAAAAAAATTATTTTAAAAAAGACTTCTAGAATGTACTTTTGCCAAAGAATTGCAGTTTAAATTTCACTTCTAGTTTGATAAAAAGTCTATTCTTTATACTCTTGAAATAAATATTAATTATGTAAGCCACTGATCAGTTAAACTAAACCTTAGTGAAAGAAAACGTGATCTTGTTATCATTTCAGTTTTCTCTCAGTGACGGTAGAATTGGATTGTTTTATAGTGGAAGTCTGAGAATCAAAGGGCCTGAGGTCAAATTTCTGCTTGCCACTTATTAAGCAAGTCTCCTTTATATTTGTATTCTGCATTACCTAGCACATAGTAGACACTTAAGAAAT